CAAAATGTAGTTGCAAGATCAAGCGCCGAGGCAGAGTATAGGGCCATGGCAATGGCAACATGTGAACTTATTTGGTTAAAACAGTTGCTCAAGGAACTTCAAATTGAAGAAGCAAGACCAATGACACTTATTTGTGATAATCAAGTTGCATTGCACATTGCTTCAAATCCAGTCTTCCATGAGAGGACCAAACATATTGAGATAGACTGTCACTTTGTCAGAGAGAAGATCGAGTCAGGCGACATCGTCACAAGCTTTGTCAACTCTAATGATCAATTGGCAGATGTGTTTACAAAATCCCTACGAAGCCCCAGAACTAACTATATATGTAACAAGCTTGGTGCCTTTGACTTATATGCTCAAGCTTGAGGGGGAGTGTTGATATGTGTAAATATATATATATATATATATATATATATATATATATATATATATATATATATATATATATATATATATATATATATATATATATATATATATATATATATATATATATATATATATATATATATATATATATATATATATATATATATATATATATATATATATATATATATATATATATATATATATATATATATATATATATATATATATATATATATATATATATATATATATATATATATATATATATATATATATATATATATATATATATAGTGTTGAGAATATTTGTATATAGAATAGTCCCACATCGACTATATCATGTAATTACTTGTATTTTATTTATATATAATAATGTCTCCGTAGTGCTTTTCAAAACAACCTACTAAAGATTTCCCATGGGGTAGAGGAACCAGTTCCCAGGTACCACTGCTTTGAAGAGCACACATTTCATCAATCATTGCTTGCCTCCACTCAGGGTGAGATAATGCTTCACCTGGAGTTTTAGGAATAGAAACAGAAGACAAAGAAGACAAACAAGTATACTGCAAAGGGGAAAGACGATGATAACATAAATCAATATAATGTGGAGAAGGATTTCGTGTTTGACGTATACCTTTTCGAAGGGCAATCGGAAGATCAGACTCAGGTTGCAGGACCGAATCCGGTGATGGCGAGAGCGTCGGAGGAGAGTCTGTAGTGACCTCAGGGACAGGTACGACTTCAGGGACAGGTACGACCGTAGTGACCTCAGGGACAGGTACGACTTCAGGGACAGGTACGACTTCAGGGACAGGTACGACAGACTTTGGGTGACGACGCTGATATGTTTGAAGTGGGCGAGGAGTGGGGGGGTCAACCGTAGGGGTAACTAGTGGATCAGGTTCCTTAGAATGATGGGGGATAATGACAGCTGGGACTTCCGGAAGAGGTGTGGGAATACTTTCCTGTAGAGGTTCCGTAGTAACTTGGCTGGATTCGAAATATGGAACAGACTCGAAGAAGGTAACATCGGCGGATACGAGGTATCGTTGTAGAGTATGTGAGTAGCAACGATAACCTTTTTGGGATCGATGATAGCCAAGAAAGACACACTTTAGTGATCGAGCTGATAGTTTATCAAGACCAGGGGAGAGATTGTGTACAAAACACGTGGACCCGAAGACTCGAGGAGGAATTGGGTGGAGTGGAGAGTTTGGAAACAAGATTGAATGAGGGATTTTATTATTAAGGACAGATGATGGCATGCGATTTATGAGGTAACATGCCGTGAGCACTGCATCTCCCCAAAACCGGAGAGGAACATTACCATGCAGAAGTAGGGTCCGAGTGGTTTCTACGAGGTGCCGATTTTTGCGTTCGGCTACCCCGTTTTGTTGGGGTGTATGAGGGCAAGATGTTTGGTGCAAAATACCATTGGATGACATAAATGTTTGAAATTGTTGGGATAAATATTCACGTGCATTGTCACTTCTTAAGGTACGAATAGACAAACCAAATTGGGTTCTTATTTCTCGATAAAATTGTTCAAAAATGGAAAACAATTCAGATCTATTCTTCATTAAAAATAACCACGTGCAACGTGAAAAATCATCAATAAAGGTGACAAAATACCTAGACTCAAGAGTAGAGACAGTACGCGAGGGACCCCAAACATCGGTGTGAACTAAAGCAAAAGGGGACGAAGCTCGTTTGTTGACTCGACAGGGAAATTGACTACGAGTGTGTTTCCCTAATTGGCACGACTCACAATGTAAATTAGATACCTTCGATAAATTTGGCACCAACTTATGTAATTTGGAAAGACTGGGATGACCTAACTGAGCATGGATAGTGAGTGGAGAATCTTTGGTTGAGCATGCCTGAGATGACAATGAAAGGTAGTAAAGGCCTTGAGACTCATATCCGACGCCAATCGTCTTTCCCGAACTCCGATCCTGCAGGGTAACATTATTATTAGTGAAGGTGATACTACAATCAAGAGAACGAGTTAAACGAATGACTGAAAGTAAATTAAATGGACAATTAGGTACATAGAGGACAGAAGTAACAGATAGAGAAGGTAGAATTTGAACAGTACCAATCCCTTCGGATCGGGTTTGAGAACCATTGGCCGAAGTTATAGTAGGTAAGAAACCAGAGGTAGAGAGGGAAGAGAACAAATTTTTATTACCAGTAACATGATCAGACGCACCAGAATCAAGGACCCAAGGTCGAAGAGGAGATGATTGAGAGAGGCAAACAGATAAATTACCAGTGTGTGCTACCTTAGCAGTAGAATCTGAGTTCTGATAATTCTGATACCACCTGAGGAAATCATCGTAGTTTGGCGTAAAATTCTGAGGAGTAGCCATGAGTATCTGAAGAGAGAAAATATCACGCGATCGATCGCTGGCCGGACGTGCTGTCACGTGCGTTTCAGGTGGCGGCGCTGGATGCCCACGCGCAGAGACGGAGGTGGCGCGTGTGGAGGTTTCTGCCGATGAAAAAGTTTGCCGGACGGCGGCAGCTATGCGGTTATGACCGAAGAATTTTGAAAAGTGAGGCAAACCGGAGTGACAACACGGTTTGCAAAAAAAATTTTAAAAATTTCTCACCGGAAGACAGTGGGTCAACCGGGTAAAGCACGGCGAAGAAAGAATTGCCTCTTAGCAGGCTCTAGATACCATGTTAAGAAGTGTGGTTGGGCCTAACTCAACCCTACAAAACCGGTTGGTAGAGTGAGGATTACCCCCACTTATAAACACATGTTCATGCCATATATTGTCCGATGTGGGACTCTTAACAGTATCTCCTCTGCATGCAAGAATTATTTAGAACAGAGCTCTATGGTGGCGTCATTTCAAATCAAAACTTGATTTAATATTTAATGGTGGTGTCATTTCAAATGGCGACTTGGTTTAATATTCAATGCAGCAGTTATTTAATATGACGCATACATATTTTGAAATCTAAGTTATATATGTTTTTTTTTTTGAAAATATAAATTATTTAAAAATATATATTTAGTGTCACCATCTCATAAACTTGGTGGACCATGGTGAATAATTAAGTTACATTCCAAACCCACGTCACCACCAATCACAACACAAGAAAACAAAGCAATGAATAATGATAATATTCCAAAAACGATTTTATAAAAGTAAAAGTCATTTATATATTTGTCATGTTCGAATCTTAAAACCTAGCCACGACGGAAACGTGGGACCAACCTACTAAAAATCTTGAAAAAAAATTATTCAAAGTTTTCACATTCGATGGATTCAGAGATATAGTCCAAACAATCTTCACTAACTAATTAATTTAGTTAAAATATAAAATAAAGCTAAGTCTTGAAATTTTTATATTTTAACATCTATACAATTTTTGACGCAAGGATCATTTGGACAAAAACAAACTATGTGAAAATGATATTTTGATACGAAGAATTATATTTTCAACAAAATTGAGTTATTTCACTCTCATTTTCCAATTTTAGTTTTCACTCACTTTCCTATAACAATATTTGACATCAATAAAAACCAGTTGATAACAAAGATATGCAAGTAAAAGATAAAAGTGGTATGAACGGCCGGCTTACACGGTTTCTCTAGCTTATGATTAGTTTTCCAATTTATTATTTTGTTTTATGGACTAGTAGTGGTTTTGGTGATCAAATAAATCAAATAATTATTTAGTTTTTAGTTCAATTGATCGAACCGGCCAATTCTAACCGATTTTTATTACATTGTTTATAAACTAGATAAATATTTGGTTTCAATTTTGAAAGAGGCAAAGACAATATTAGAATGCCGAATTGATTTAGAAATGATTTTTTAATATTTGGCTATCGTAAAAATAAAATTGAAATTGTTTTTAGAGTTAATTTTACTTGAAAATAAAAATTGTAATTTTTAGTTTAAAAATTATATTTATATAAAATATTTCTACAACATTCACAACTTTAGTTTCAATGTAACATTTATCTTAAACATTATTTTTTTTCAAAACTATTTTTTATCAAGATTCCTTTCCTAAATTCATTTAGATAATAATAGTATTGTTCTGAGATGGGTCAGAGGTTGCCCCACCGTCGGACACGGGTCAATTCATTTCTTTGTCAGGGAGAGCCCAGCTTATCACATCACACGGGAGCACTCATGTGTCTCCTCCATGGTCTCCACGTGCCCCCACGCGGGGACACGTCATTAGACAATTATCCACCTTTCAAAGATCAGGGGCAGTTGACTCTGTTGGGTGAAGACCACGTGTTGGTCTTTCCTACACCACGTAAGCCTTGACAGTGGCTCGTATTGGGTCTAGCGATCCAACCTAATGCAAAGTAACTGTTGGCCCTACACCACGTCCTCTGCATTGTTCTCAATGATAGTACCCACAATATCTTCTAAACTCTGAACCTCCGAATATGCTTCATTTTCACCTGGGTAGTTCATTAGATTATCGATATCCATCTTATTACGATAGCCACATTGATTGATCATAGTCTTGAGGTCTTGAGTTTCTTAGCCAAAAGTGGATTGATCCAAATTTCTTGCAACGTCACTATCTGAACAAATTTTACAGTGTCGGAAGTAATTCGCTATTGTTTCTTTTTGAACATCTATCGTCTAAGCTGGGATTGCCAAATTGATAGCATCAAGGACATTTATCTTCCCTGGATCAGATTGTCCCACCTCATAACCTTCCAATACTTTGCAGTAAAACCTTCTACGGTAATGCATCTTGAAAGCTCTTATTATCCCAGCATCACAAGGTTGAATCTTTGATATCATGTTGGGTGGCAAGAAGAACAACTCAACGTTTCTTAGCCCTTCAATATTTCTTGGATCTGCTGGACAATTATCCACCACAAGTAGAACTCTTCTACCATGCATCATTTGGTCAAATGAACGAACATATTCATCAAAAAGCACATTAGTCATCCATGCTTTTTTGTTAGCTCGATACTGACAATCCAAGCCATTCATGTTGACATTCTTGAAGCAACGAGGCTTTGCATATTTCCCAATAATCCATAGAGGAATTTTTTCAGAGTCATCTTCATTGCAACAAATAACTATCATCAGCCTTTCTTTATCTTGTTTTCTTCCTTCAAGTTGTTTTGTTGCCAATGAATGATCAGCTTGTAGCCTATAAAACAACCAAGTTTCATCCATATTGAAAACATCTTTCATAGGGAACTGATCAATTTTCTCCCGAATCGATACCAATTTCTGCTCCATGTCTTGTACATCAACAGACCCACTCTCGCTAAAACGACGAAATGACTTTATGCCATGTCGGTTCTTGAATTTCCCAAGTCATCCTATAGAGAAGTTAAAATCTGAATCATCATGAGGGTACACGAGTTCATTGTATCTCTTGCCTGCTGAAAAATTAATTCTTCTATGATATTCACATGTTCTTAATGCTGGAGAAACCACTCATAAACAACCTTCTCCATGTCAGGATATTTTGCTGGTTTGTGTCTTTTGATCTTTGCTCTTCTATTTTTTATTTCAACAGAGAGATAGTCATCTGACCGTTTAAGTGTGTTTGATATTGTTCATTGACTAACTTTCAACTGAAATTTTCCCTCAAGCCATCTCTACAAGTCTTTTTGTGTGCTTGCATGATTATCTCTCTTGTACTCACACAACTCCTTACGTATTTGATCTGACATAGTTGATTTTGCAACACCTTTTAGATGAGAACCATTTTGTGAGATATGGTTTGAATACTCTAACACATTCATGTAATTTATATATGGCAAACTTGCTTAAGAATACATTGAACAAATTTGTTCCTCTTGTTGACATTTACTGTACTTCAAAAGTCATTATTGATTTCCAATGCATATGAACATAATAGTTACTAATTTACATTGAATCTCAAGGTTTGCTGCAACGTAATTCTAAGAGGCATAGAGTAATTTTCCTTCTTATTTAGTATGTACAATATAATTACTTAAAAACTCTTTAAATTAATAATTATTAATTTATCGATAAATTAATAACTCTCTAAATTAATAAATTTCTTCAATCCTGACATTATTAATTTAAAGAGTTTCTACTGTACTATTTTCTATGTTACTTTTAAGTCATCAAATATCACGAATTATTTATGATAATTTATAATAATAAAATAATAAATAAGAATACTTTTATAAAATTGTTACCTTTAATTATTATTATTATTATTATTATTTTACAGTCTTTAATACTATGTGTGAAAGAATCTTAAATGATTTTTGTTTTGACATGGAGGAGTCCATGCATTTTTTCTTGTTACTATCACCAAACCAATACATATAACTCATAATTGACATGGAAGAGTCCATGCATTTTGTCTTGTTACTATCGTTCTCATCATATGGCCACATCACATGATGTGTTTTATAATTACTTTATCAGTCGCCTATGCAATTAATTCGACATGCAAAGAGACAAGAATCATATCAAAGTAATAATTCTATAAATAAACTACTAGATGTTTCTATCTTGTTTTCCAATCTCTTAAACTCAATCAATTTATGATCCGACATATAGTGCGGCCCCCCTTTGAAAGAAGTTATGGAGAATATTTTATCACCATGTCATATTTTTCAGATATATATATATATATATATATATATATATATATATATATATATATATATATATATATATATATATATATATATATATATATATATATATATATATACACTAAAGTGTCATTATTTAAAAATAAGAATTTGATTAGAGTTGTCGCCAAGAAATAAATGGTCTCTCTCAAAAAAGTATAAGTTTTGCCATTGAATGGGCAGCCGTGTATTATATTTTTAAAATTTTAATATTATTAATGAATATTAATTATAAATATAATTAATATTCATATTAAATATATATTAATTAATATATTTTAAATAAATATAAAAATTAATAATGAATATATATTAATTAATTTTGTAACTATAATAAAATAATTTAAATTTATTTTTATATACGTAATTATTTTAATAAAATTATTTTATATATTTTAATTAGTAATGAATATATGTTAATTAGATTTTAATTATTATAAATTAATTTCAAATGATTTAAATTGATATATATGCATATAATTATTTTATTAAAAAAATACAACTCCCTCACTACAATGGGCAGATGCTTTGATTATTTTATTAAAAAAATATAGTTTTGTCATTGCAATGGACAAATGCCTTTATTATTTTATTATTTAAGTACAACTATGTCACTTAGGGATGTAAATATGGGGGCAGATACTATGATATCCGTATCCGCCCCGTTAGATAAATATGATATCCATATCCGCCGCATATCCATGTGGATATCTGTTAAGCGGATAATCCATGAGTTTTATGGTATCCACAGATATTTACAGATATCCATTGATAATACTTTTTTTATAAAAATTATTTTTTAAGAAAATTATTTTTAACTTACTTTAAAGACACAAAAATTTATTATCACATAACATCCATACAAAAGATTCGACAGAGGAATGATGGAAGATCAGACGACAGAGGAGTAGGAATGGAGACACTAGTTCGACAAAGGAATGACGATATTAGTTGGTTGGACTGTGAAATTGATGAAGTGAGGTATGAAGTATCGAAGAGTTTAAATATGAAATGACAAATAGAATTTGAATGAAAAGTGAAAGGTTTTCTTAAAAGAATTAAAAAATAAAAATAAAAGTATAAGAAGACTAATTTTTTTTAGAAGATGCAAAGATAAAGTATAATAAACTAATAATATTTAAATAATTTTTATAATTTATAAACGGATATGGATATCTGCGAGTATGGATATCATTAAACCCATATCCATATCCATTAACAAACGAGTATTTAAATATCCATTTATTTTATCCATGGATATCCATTAAGCTACCAGCCCCATATCCGTGGCAGATTTTATCCACGGATATCCGCGGGTATGGATATTTTTGCCATCCCTAATGTCACTGCAATAGGCAGATGTTTTGATTATTTTATAACTTAAGTACAACTATGTCACTACAATGGAAGAATCTTTTGATTATTTTATTATTTAAGTATAGTGCGGATCTGATATAAATAAAGGTGTGGTGCAATCCATTTTTTTCACATATATTCTCAATTTTTTGTAATAGCGCTAACATGATTCGCCACCGCAAAGGGAAAGTGGTTTATTACACAGACAAGTCGCCGATGGAGATGCTCTTCTAGAACATCTGTAGTTTCGAGCAACTACGGAGGAAGTTGATTCGTTGGTTAGACGGAGACATACCTGAAGGCACAAAAATAAAAAGTATTGAGAGACACGATGCCCAACGTGGGTGAGTGTGAGTTAGAAATGATAAGGATTCATGGGAAACCATGTTTGAATCAAATGATATTAGCTTGATTGTTGTAAACAATTAGAAATGTTGTGTTTAACTGTTGTGGTTATATATTTTTATTTGTTTGTTGTATGTGCTGTTTTTTTAGACTTGTTGTTCGTTTTGTGTTATCTGGATTTTTGTTATTTATACTTATTACTTAATTAGTTATGGTTCAAATAATTGAGAAGCTAGATGACAATCTGAAAAATGATACTTGATAACAAAATAAAAGTTAATTATAAATAGTTCCAACATTAGTACACCGAGTTCGGTTGTGACCAGAAAGACAACACATGAAACATTTTCTCTCCAACTTATCAATCGTATCCATTTATGTTCTAATACTTGTGCTCATTGGACAACCTTTCTTGTTCCTCCGTATTCTTGGATTATGGAAAATTAATCTCTTTCATAAATGAGCCAATATTCATTGTATGGTAGCACGAGAAAGCTTGTGTTGTAAACCCCAAATAGGTTCGTGACCTTGTAAACGTTAGACAAAAGAGCATATGTGTTTTGGCGCACTGTAGAATATGCAGCGATAACATGTGAACGAGGAACACAATATGCCTGAAAGTTTCTGCAGTCACACCAACCATTTATTAGGTTGACCTTGTAATGTCCCATAGGCTTTCCCTCACTGTGGTCCATTGTCTCCTTCAGACTAAAAGTGTTTTGAGTGTAGTAAAAAATTCTTACCTTATGCGTGTTGGATTTTTTTTGTTTCTTCTTTTATCACCTTAACATAATTTGTTTGTAAATGTTTGACCTGAATTCAACATTGCACTCTACTGTACACCCTTTTCAAGAAATAGTGATCCCAGTATATATTAGCTTGCACTTACAAATGCAATAATGGATAGCGGGTGCCTTTAAAGACTGAATTCATGTGACCCCAACGCCGACTCCCGTCAAATGCCCTAGTCAATTTTTCTACTAGAATATTGTCTACCCATCTTAAAGCATCACCATTAACCAGGCCAATTTAATTTCGATAATAGTAAAATGTTGGTTGGTTTAAAGCATACCCTATATGTTTAAAAAAATGGGTAAATGTTATAGTATATAATTGACAAAACTACAATGTTAGCAAATAGATAGATACGTACCCATGCTAATAAATTTTTTTAAGGTTTCTGTCCATGAGTTCTCTCATGAAATGTTGCACAATGTATCTTATACATTAGACATGCACAAATGGCGGATTATGCCAACCATTATCTTGATTATTGTATGCACTTTCAATCGATGCATGTTGTTGAAGGTATATTAGGTGGGTATTTGTTTTATCGTCTCCTCAGGGATTATCGTAATATCACCGTCGTTCTACAGTTTATAAAGTATTAAGTGAGGGTTTAAAAATCGTTTTGTTTGGTATCATAAATTTCACAAGAGTTTTGTAGCAAAATGTAAAGTTTGAAAGATGTTTGTTTAAAAAGACATATCAAGAATAAATTTCATCAACCTACATTGCATGTATTCGATTAATCAAGCATGTGAACTTTGTTACGATCAATGTAATCATGTATCCTGTCAATACCGTTTACCTGTAAAGTGATATCGTGAATATTATTGTATTAATTACTAGATGATGTCTCATGCTAACAATCAACACAATAATCTTAAAGCTTGATACAAAGTGAATATCAACTCACAAAATCTATGTCTAGATTTTATTTATTGATAGATGAATAACTTAGGTCAAGGTTTGAAAAATTCCTTTCAATAGTGATTCAAATTAAATGTATAACATTGAAAGCAAAGATATTCATCATACATTGATCATCAACTTGGTTCATATACAAAAGATCAAAGAAAATACATAAAAGTTAAGGAAGATTACATCTATCCTTAATACAAGGGATTTAGCTAA